TGATCGATATGCCGTCTTAATTCATCTTATGGTGAGCTGTCAATATCAATCGACGTCATTGCTGTATAACAAAGCTTTATTTGCCCCCTTGGACGCCCCATTATGTCTTGCAATCCAAGATGGCCGCCGTATCGTCGGATGTGTCCCTTTAAATTGTGCACTTTTAGTTATTCACTTTCATGTGGTCAGTCGCTTACTGATTATATGTATAATTGTTTTCAAGGCCCTGGTGGATCTTCTTTGTGCGTCCTCAGCTCCAAATCAAACAATGAATGGATAACAATCAACTATGTTAAGGTACTCCCCACTCTCCCCTTCCCAAAGAAGGCTGCCTCCTCCGGCCCCCACCCCAAGAATAATAATAACCTGTCGCTGAATCTGTATTTGTCTAATAGGCAGATCCTAAAGGCCCAGAATTTTCAGAGAAGTTTAACAACACTGAACAACGCATCAAGATAGTGTTCAGCTCGATAGAACTGATGGCACAGCAAGAGGCCTTGGCGAGCTTTGAAATTTTTGTGTTGGACTTACTACAGAGGTACGAGGAACACCATGGGATGTGCGGGTCACAAGAGGCACAAAAACATATAGAATCCAGAAGGGAGGGAGGAAGGGGGGCATAGAGGGAGGGAGCAAGATATGATGGATGGAGGGAGGGAAGGGGCAAGGGAGGGAGGGAAGGGGCAAGGGAGGGAGGGAAAAAGGGTGCAACGAACGAAAGGATAAAAGAAGGAAGGAAGGTACGTACGTACGATGATACGAAGGAAGGAACAGATGAAGGATGGAAGTAAGGATGGAATGTTTGAGGGAAGGACGGAAAGAAGGAGGGAAGGACGGAAAGGAGGGAAGTAAGGAAGGAAGGAGGGAAGGACGGAAAGAAGGAGGGACGGAAGGGAAGGGAAGTAGGAACCAAGGGAATAAGAAAAAAAACACATTTTTGGTAACGTTTTTTATTTCTAGTGAGGAAAGTGAGCCCATTCTGCCAGTTGTACGAAAAAATCCAATCCCATTACAAACCATAACAGAAGACGAAGTTCTGACCGCTCGTCCAATCTCACCAGGTAACGATGTGTTTATGAGATGGGCGAAAACAGTCATTTTGAATGATTATTCTAGTTCATAGTGGCCGCCATTATGACAAAGGTATATACTTTGTTTTAGTAAGCCGTAGTGTGATCGATATGTGCATCGAAGCGGAAATGGAGGAAGTCTGTGTGACGTTAATAGCGAAGGAAAAAACCGTTGGACAAATCAAAGTGTCAGGTAATACTTCATTTTCGTCTTACCCACACCCTACTTGTTGGCCAAAATTTCCAGTGAAATGTGTTGCACTTCCCTCAGTTCAATAACCATTATTAATTATATCCATTTAGAATTTATTGGTCATTTCTGCAATCTGATTGGCTCTCAGCATTGCGATGTAATCACGAAGCGCAGTTGAGTTTTTTATTCACACTGTTTCGAAGAGCCAATGAAATTACAGAAAACATAGCCTTTGACCAATCAGATCACAGAAGAAAAAAAGCCAAAGAAAACAATGAGAAGAGCATTTAAGTGGATTTTCTAGTTGTTCGTAAAACAAACGTTTTTTGACTGTTTTTTTTTAATTCAAGGTCTGAATGTTAAAGTTGATGTACGAGGACCAGAGACGAAAATAAACACAATGTGAGTAGAGTAGAAACGATAGAAAGAGAAACAAGAGAAAGCTTTCAGTTCCTACCGCGCTGTACAGCATCCAACGTGATTAAATTACAAAAGAGGGATGCGCATATTTTGTAATGATCAAATGTTAAACATTAATCACTCAGTTGCGCGAAAATACAAATTTTCTTTTGTCGTTTCGCGCGCGCTGCGCTTAATGGCAGCATTTTTTTGAAGGCAAAAATCACATCACTCCGTCCAAAAAAACAAAAATCGTAGTGATTTTTCATTCTGTTTCAAGGTAAGATTGTTTTAAAGGTTTTTATTTTTTCCACAAAAAATAAACTTACAAAATTAATATATGATTAAAATTAAGATAATGTATAAAGTGGAAAGATATAGAAAGAGCAACCCGATGGTTCTGATGTATTTTATTTGTATTTTGTATTTTATTTCTTTTAAAAAGGTTAAAGGATCTCAGTATTCTTAATGCAACTGAAGGAACAATATATCCAAAGGTAATGTAGGCTTTGCAGCATCACGTGATGGCAGCCATGACATTAGGCACAACAATGGGGTATCTTTCCTCTGGGAAACTGAATTTTTCCTCGTGTAGATAAGATTAGACCGTATTTAATTGTTTCTGCGTCGTGTCATGGCTGCCATCACGTGATGGAGAAAAGCCTCTAGAGTCCCCTTCACGGTTTATCTGCCATCTTGTTACTGATTATCATACTTTATTCAAGATGGTAGAGGAACCGTGAAGAATGTGATGTAAATGAATGGCGGAATGAATGCACGAATGATTATAAAATATGAATTATAAATGGTGAATAAATCAAAGGTTGGATGCAGAAAATTTACAAAATCCGTTTGGTTTTCAAGAAGTTGTTCCCTTCATCCTTCAACAAATGCATTAATCGTGTTTTTGTTTCTTAGATTCTTTGCCTTCAGGACAACACTGTCTTCGACTGCGAGGTAGGTTATTTCTTTTATGTCAAAGCTGCTATTTCTAGAGTGCAAACAATATAACCGTGAAACTTTAGTAATACTGAATAGCACAATTTCATGCAAATTTCATTTTTTTCTATTGTTTAATTAGCTTTATTTTTTAATTTTTAATTAATTAATTTTTCTAATTAATCTTAATTCTTAATTGTTTGCACTCTATCGAGCTTAAGATATTATGACACTGGGAGTTGCATGCGTTGGGAGTTGAGCGAGTCGGGTGTGACTAACTATTGTTTCTTCGTTACTTCGTAGATAACGCTTTTTGACAACAAGAGGAGCTCTAACGACCCTCTAGCACTGGATGTAATAGTGGATCTCAAACTTGGCCGATTTACCTTCGTCTTTCTGAGTGGATTTACTGCTCATATACAAGTATGTCTAACACTCGCATTCCTTACACAGATGAAGGAGCAATTCCGAGGTCGAGAAAAACCTGGGTCGAGTTGGCATTGCAGTGCATTTTGGGACTGTTTTAGATGACATATTTCCAAGATGGCATATATTTCCTCCCTAAGAGAGCCCCAAAATGCACTACAATGCCAACGCCAGTAATGTAGGAGAGGTTGCTTTCGATAAAAATTTGGTAAAACTGACTACAATTTTTTGTCTCGATTCAGAAAAACACACTTGTATGATTGTTTCTTTCTCACTAAACATTTATTTTACTATTTTTCTTTCTCTTCTAGAACTTTTTACAAGCTCTGGTCAGCCCAGAAACGGTGTCGTACGCTCAGAATATAACGCAGAAGGCACTCAAAACCAAGGTAATAAAATGAGGTGCTAAAACGTTGTATTTATAAGGACCGCGGAGAATCGTCCAAAGTAGGAGTGTGCAAGGTGGTGGGATTAGAATTGAAAAAGGGTTAAACTTGCATATTCACAAAAAATGACCCCCAACTTTTCCCTTTCCACGATTCCTGCTTCACCATTTTGTTTACTCAGAGCGCTTTTCATGTGGCTTTACGAAGCATTCACTTTTTAGGAGGGGAGGGGTCGGCGGAATCCAGAGAATGGCCATTAAATTTCTACTCAGCCAAAATGAGGGGGTTATCAAAAATCTTATACTGCATAAAGGGGAAGGTAAAGAATTATACAAATTTCAAGGGGAGGATCTCTATTTTATGGCGACAGGAGAGAAGAGGCTAAAGATTTCACATAACCCCCCCCCCCCTCCACAAAAAATGAATGCTCTCTTAAAAAGCTTCTACTTTTCCCAATTTGTATAGGCGCAGGGCATCCAAGAGAGTGGTTCCAAGATAGGACTCAACATCAGCGTGCATGCTCCTCAGCTAATAATCCCTGGACACTCGTTCTCTAAGGACATGATGATTGCAGATCTTGGTAGACTTGAGATTACTAATGCTATAAGTAAGGGCCAAGATGGTGTTCTCATGGATAATATGGCTGTTACGTTGAAGTCTTTTGAAGTTCGATGGTAAGAAAGGATACTTGAAATACCATGCATCTGTGCAAACACAAGCGAAAGCATATGCTTCAAAAAATATGTACTTAGTTTGCACATGACGTCATAGCCGCCATCTTGGATGGATTTGACGAAAGACATCATCCAACATGGCAGCCTTGCCTTTTGTTATTTCACTCCCTTTGAAATGATTGAAAACGTGCAATTGCGCTTGTGAATGCATTGAAAATTGTAACAATTTGAATGTCTTTGGTTTAACCGGTTGGCGGTTAACCATCCGGTTAGACCGTAGGCCCTGTCTCTCAACCCTTTCTAACCTACAGTAAATGGGGGACATAAAAGAACCTGTTGAATTATTCGCGTAAGAGTAGAGGATTTCACACTCATAATCGTAAGCTGCACGGCTGCCATTAGCGCCTTAATACGCGGCCCGTAAAGTCCTCCACTGGTTATGAATGTGAAGCGCATTGAGATATTTTAAATGCGCTATATAAGAACCCATTATTTATTTATTTTAGTTTGTCGGAGAATGTCAAAAATGCCACAGACTACTTGATAGAGCCTATCAAACTGGACGTAACTGTACAACGAAGACTACAGATAACGAAGAGTCATCTACCATTGATAGAAGTAGACGCTGTTCTTCCACTTCTTAAGGTAATAGCTTCTTTACTTTGAGCCTAATGTTTTCTTATTTCACGCCACTTGTCATTCTCTAGAGTATCATTTCTCTGTTTAACGGTTGCGCATGAGAAGACACATGAATATGGATGCAACTCAAACAAAGAATCTTATTCTCAAGAGAATGACATTTGGTCTGCAATGGGAAAACCTTATGTCCAAGCTAAAGAGGTCTATCAAAAGGTGTAAATTTATGGCTGAATTTCGAGGAGAAAAATCCAAATTTTACTGGGAGATCTGGAAAAATCCTTGAAAATTCTTATTTTCCAATCCACTGGAATTGTTTGGTGTGTAATGCATGGATGGAATAGAGAATATTTGCTTAGACCATCCTTTTTTCCTTTTAGATTAATATAGCTATACCAGATTACAAACTGTTGATGATGGTCTTAAACAGAAATCTCTCTGAAGGAAAAGAAGGTTTGTGTTACTTGTGCGACCCAGATGTGACACTATTTGTTGCTTCCTTCCTTCCTCCCTTCCTGCCTGCCTGCCTGCCTGCCTACCCGCCCGCCCACCCCTGCCTTCCTGCCTGCCTGCCTGCCCGCCCTCCTGCCCGCCTGCTTGCCTGGATTGGATAAATATTTGTATGAATAAGAAAGAAATGATAGAAGACAAAACCCAGACATCTGGAGTTTCACGGATGGGAAAAAATGAAAAGCTACACTCTAAGAAGGGACATATTTCTATATGTTTGCGACTGTATACTTTTTCTTTCAACAGAGCTAGATACTCCACCGCGTGCACATTCAGAGGAAAGTCTGGATGTTGCTGAGGATAGAGTCGAACAATTCAGACAAAGAATCGCTAGCGGTAACATGACTATGTTGACCATCTTACACATAGATTACCAAGGGTGCTTTGTTTATCTAATTCAGTCCACATGTCATTCCCGTGAGAATGATATTCTTTGTTTAAGTTTTCATTAGTCATGTGCAACAGCTAAACAGAGAAATGATACTCTAGGGAATGACAAAGAACTGATACTCTTGAGATTGACACGTAGTTTGAAATCGGGAAACATTACGCCCAAGGTAAAGACGTCTATTGCACTGCTTCTTTCTCGTAGATGGATGATAATCTATTTGCTTCTAATAATATTTTTTAAATGATGAACTAATGTTTGGTACCAATTTCTCTTTATTGTTTTTGTTTTTTGTTTTCCAGTGTTTGAACCTTTGGCCTCCAAGGAAGCTTCCACTAGTGATGCAGATGAGCAAGTCAACCTCAAGTGCAATTTTAACGTCCAAAAGGTTTTACTTCCATTTTCATTTTGATGACTGAAAGCATGTGAAGGCGCCTCTGGCAGCCGCTATACAGTCTATGTATGACCCAGGAGCACAGCTCTAACCAGTTTAAATTAGATAGGGTTGATTTGAAATAATAAGAGACTATTTCTTTGCATTCCTTCTTAGGTCATAGTACTTTCGCCTCTGATTGTTAATGACCAGATCAAACCCTATCTTGTCCTAAACATAGAAAAACTTTTGGCAACAGTTATGCTAGATACATGGACAGTCAATGTACAGGCTGATCTGGGGACTATTGACCTCATTGATCGTATGAATACTGGTGAGTAAAGTGAGGAATATTGAATCGTAAAATTTGAGAAGGGCGTAAAATTTGAGAAGGGCGGAGAGGAAACAGGTGGAGAGGAGAGGAGAGAAGAGGAGAGAAGAGGCGAAACGAGAGGAGAAGCAGAGAAGAAAGTAACACATGGAAAGAAAGGAAAAGTGTCAGATACAAAAAGGAAAGGGCTGGTACGATCAAAGGAATAAAGTATATAGATAATCAATTTTTTTGCTGTTTTTAAGGTCCTGATGAGCAACCTGTCTCTATAATATCATCATCGAGGGAAGAAGACCTAATATCTGTTGGCTATAAGATGGTAAGAGTAAGATTAAACTGAAACTTAGCAATACTCTACTGTGATGTTGCTGCTGCTGTTGCTG